AGACAACGACCCGACGGCGGTAGCGGCGGGTGAGGAGCGGGTACAAGCCGACGTGGGCGACGCGATATCAACCAGCAGGATCCAGGAGATGATGAGGAGCGCGGAGGAGCAAGACGGCGGCGACGGCAGCAAGGTGGACATTGCGCATGACGGCCCGGTGAGAGGCGAGATTGCCGCTCAGGTGGGAGGAAATGGTGATGGTAACGGTGTTAGTGGTAGTGGTGAATGCTCCGAGGAGGGGGACGCGACACGGTTTCGCTCAGTCGAGCGACGCCCGTGCACTCGGCAGGAGAATGGGTTCCCAGCTGACGACCAAGCGTCGGGCAAGGACCTCGCCAGAGACTCAGTCCAGCATAACAGCAGTAACAATACCAGCGGCAACAATAAATATAGAAGCCTCGTGATGATTACTCAGGAAGCGTCATACCAGCCAGTGAGCGTTGTCACGTCAGACACCACGACGCTGTTACAACCGGATGAAATTCATTCGGCTGGAAGCCAGGGAGGTCTGGCCGGCTACTTCCAGCTGGCATTGGAGGCGGCGAGCGAACCACAGCTTCGTAAAAACGCTCCGCGTAAGCCGCTGATGGTGAAGAGATTGCCAGCCGCGGTTGCGGTCTCCGCCGTCACGACTGGTCATCAATCAGCCGAGCCTGAAGTGGATAGTGGATTGAGTGTCGGTAGCGCTAGTGAAAGCGACGACGTGTCCGTGAAGAACGTGCCGAAGCCGCTCAATTGTCGACAGGAGAATGCGGATGACGTGCAGTCGAAGGATCGTGCGGTGTCGGATTATCGTGAAGATGCGCAACTACGTGCTTCGTCGCAGTCTAGTGACGATAATTCGGGTACTGGTGGCATTATTATACTTGAGGAAGGTCTGGCCGATGATGATTCCTGGGTGGAAGAAGTGTCGCACGATGAAGACGAGCCAGGAGCGACCACTGCCACGGAAGAAAGCTCCGAAGATGAAGCTAATAACTTTGGCGATCGTGAAGAAGAACTCAGAGGCTATCGCAGACAGGCGATCGACTTTACCTTGCATACGATTGTCGAGGAATCCTGTGAGGAGAGTGAAACGGAGCCGAGTCTGGCTACGGGAAGTCCCTCGAAAAAACCGAGACCACCTTCCGCTTCAGAATTGGAAAAATATTTCTTTTTTGGATTGGGAGGCGATGGAAATAGCTCCAGTATGGGCTCGCGCGAGGTCGACAGCTTGTCGGAAACCTCGTCGATTTATTCCGAGGGATTGGAGTCGCTCGGCCAGGACGAAGCTAACGGCAGTGGTCAAAACCAGGACAGGTCGAATAACAGTGATGGCTTCCTAAATTCTTCCAGACTGGAAAAATATTATCTATCAGAATTCCTCGGTTTCGATCAAGATAGAAGAGATTCTGATGGTTCAGTGGGAAGTGATTCTGAAGGCAGACCCAGTCCAGAAGCGCAAAGAAGGAAGAAACTAGTGCGTGCGAGAGGTACAGGCAGATCTCATAGTTCTTCTCTGGATAATTTATTGGCTCTCACACAGAGCTCGCAGAATCTGAGCTCGCAAAATTCTCTTCAAGATCTGAGCCTTAATCAGGACGCGCAAGAGACTCAATCTGAAGGTTCTTCAACGGAGACTGATGGTACTGAAGATGGCCAGACCGCTGCATTTGGCACGGACGGTCAATTCGATACGGTAAAACGCAAAAAGAAAAAGCCGCGAAATTTGGGAACTCAAAGTCCACGTGTGCCAGATGATCGAAACAAGACGCCGGAACCCAACAGAGAAATGACGCTAATGAGCGAAGTCGTGATAGAAAATGAGAACGAAGCAATGAACTCTGAAGATTCGGATAGAGCGAAGACTCCGCAGCCGGAGTCTGTTCTGTCTTCGTCTTCCTCGCCGTCCACTCTTACAAATAATAGTAACACATTGAACGCGGCCTCGTCCTCGCAAATAGATTCAAGAAACTTGGTTTCGGTAAATTCAAGTGACGGTCAACGGTCAAAGCAACAATCGCGAGACTCGGGCTTCGTTGGCAGCTGTGACGATCTTCTTCAGCATCAGAAATTGCCGGACGAAAGTCAAATAAGCGGCACGGAGGTCGATCAAGAAACCAGCAAAGATCGCTCACTCAGTAAGATTACGGAGCATTCTCCAGACGCGAGCCAGAGCGCTACTAAGGAAGGAGCGGTCGGCAAAAACAACTTGACGAAGCCGGTGAATCATACGAGTCTGCCGCACCTGGCGAATGCTTCGCTATCACGCAAAGATAGCTTTAATAATTGGTCCAGCGATGAGGAGACGAATCTCATGATGTCGAAGATGCGACAGTTTTTCAAGACGATGGTGGCTAACTCAAACGGTCAAGGATCAGGTCAGGGACAGAACGCTACCAGTGCGAATTCCGGCGGCGTCTCTCCGGCACCGAGTCCTCGGCTGCCGGGTTACACCTCGAAAGCACGACTCTGCGTCCAGAACCGCACCAAACCGCCACAACTGGTGTACTTTGAGAACGAGCTGACGCGACTGATGAAGACGGTACCGGGAATACGCGACGAGCAAGTGCGAGAGATCGTCGAGTATCTCAGCTCGGAAGACACGTGGTCGGATTCTTACGACAGCTCGGATTATACCAGCTCCGATCTCGAGGGCGCCGCCGGAGGTCGCAGATCAGCCTTGCAAGAACAGATCTCGCAGAGCTGTCAACAAATCATCAGCAAATTCGACACCACTTCCGCTGGCGTTGACGCGACTCTATTGGACAAGGAGAGAGAGCAGATAAAAGGGCCAGGATCAGGTTCCGCGATGCAGCCTGCACCTTGTCTGGGTAGAGATACCGCTTTCGTCTATCAAAAACTGGTACAGAGCTTCACGAAGATGGCCGGTGACGGTGTGAGTTCGGACGCCAACTCCACGCCGCACAGTAGCCCGCCACTAATCGCCAAGGTGATGCACCACATCGGTAGCCGGCTAGTAGCGCTGATGCACGAAGTCTCGGAGGGCGGACCAGCCGCGCATCATCACTCCACCACATGGCGACGGTATTCTCAGCATCACCGAACCCCATCTTCAGCGTCCACCACCGAAGACGATGACTCAACATCAGACTCCACTAATGCGTCAGCACACTTGCAGCTACCAAGATCAAAATCTCACGACCCCCTGTTGTTGATCAACAATCATCCGGCAGCCATCCCCGGTCAGGAAGGGGAAGAGCGAGAGGCCAGTGATTACGAGAGGTTCTCCTGGCGCGGCAGCTTTGAGTCGACTCTCATGGCCGCCGACTCGAGGACAAAACTGAGCCTGTTAGCGTGTTCCGGTGACGTCAGTGGTGGTGGTAGTGTCAGTGCGAGTGCGAGTGCCCTGGCCGCGAAGCGGCGTAGCGCCGGCGATTTGTTGTTCAATCCGAAGAGCTTTTCGAGGGAGCAGCTGGATAGGGTGAGGAGTTGCGGTTCGATCGGTGGCGGAAGCGGCGCCGGGACCAACGGAGCCGGCGGCGGCTCCGTCGAGGAGAGAATCTGGAGCAACAGGAGGAGATCCTCCGTTCCCGATGCTAACACTAGGGGAGAATCAGGTGAGTCCGAGCGTGACAATCTTTGCGTATGTGTGAATGAATGGATGTGGTGTGTGCACTTCTCCACGCGAAGTGATCTCCCGCGGATCGCATTACATCGCGGAAATGACGGTAATTGGCGTTACAGCTTGATTTTGCCTCGCCGAGGCAATCCCGCGGGTTGTTCGAGCGTTCCTTTTCCGCAATTATGCTATGGTGCGGACTGAGCACGTCAGACGCTACAGCCAGATCGGTCCCGATAATGGGGTTGTATTTTATGTGGAATGAATAGAGTGAACGCTTACGCAGCGGCAGGCCTAATGTAATTGTACTTATATTGGTAAATTAAGTCGGAATTAGGAAGCGTGAAAGCAACTCCGCGCCTTATTTGTGTGTTTTACGCTGCACGCGATTCTGTTTTAGTTATTCTACATAAGCAAAAACAAAATTTGTTGATTATAAACAGTGAAATTATATGAAAAAAAGGTTGATAAAATAATGAAAGTACTAATTATAGGGATACTATTTGAATATTTCATAAGTTTTTTATTAAATTATTACTGTGTATGTACTAGAATCAAAAAATCTGAATCGAAAAACAAAGTTTCACCGTAAAGCATTGCAAGCGAATTTTAATCAAATGATATCTACAATCTATATATCTATTTTTAATATAGAAACGAGAAGCAAATTGCTCAACGTTTAATAGTATTTTTTCTATAGTATCATTTTTTTCAGACCTCGTCATCGTAATTATGAATGAATGGCGTCTCATGAATGCATAATGCTTATGAATAATTTCCATTCACGTTGATGCGTACATGCAACTTACGAGTACCAATAAATAAATATTTTCATCAGGCTAAATGAAATGGAACGGCATTGTACGCAAATAGTAAATAGATATCAATATATATATATACACAATCGCATAGCTAGTGAAATAAAAAAATATCTAAATTATACCAATAATGCAATGATGCAAATCGCACAGAAGCCATTCATTTTTCACATTACGAGACGTTGCACTCTCAAGTATCGTTAGTATCGTCAATATTATCCGATAAGAGAACGATGATGTTAATCATCGTGCAGGTGCATCGGCTGGCGACGAGGATACCGAAGACGAATTGGAATACGGCGGGGAATCGCGAGCGACGACTCTACCACGTGGCATGCAATCCGCCATCAGTGCGGCTACCAATTCCCTGCCGCGACTACCCGCGCCGAGCGCACCGACCGGCCTGACGACAACGTCGTCATCGTCATCGTCATCGTCGTCGTCGTCGTCGTCGTCGTCGTCGTCGTCGTCCGCGGCGGCGGCGGCGACGTCGACCTCGTCGCCGATGCACAAGGCGCACAGCGTCTATCACTTCCTGCCGCAGCACAGCGGCGTCAAGTCCGCACGGTATCGACCGCCCGGCTTCGCTAGGAACAGCAACATCGGAGTGATCGGCAGCGGGCCCAAACGCGCCGTCAGTGCACCGGGCCTGCAAGCTTCCGGCTCGCAATCGGCCACCGGCAAACGGGACAACTCGAGGTCGAGAAGGCAGCAGGCGATGTCGCTCACATCGGGTAGGTCACGATCATGGTTTTTTTAAACGGTCGCGCACAAGTTGTACTAAAGGCCACATTCTTTCTAAGTACAGATTTCCTGACGAGTATCTCTTATAGTGTATCTTTATTTTAGATTTTGCATTTAGGATTTTAATTTTTTCAATTTAATTTTTTTTTAATGTAAAGAGAATAAATACGTGAGAAAAGAATGTAATATTTCGAGTAGCGTTCTTATTGCCTCTTGTGTATTACTGACATTTTTCACTCCTTACTTAGACAACAAATAAATTTTGAAACTAAAGTTTCTATGAACTTTCTCGTAAAAGTTAAACTTTAGGATAGGTCTTGTAATTTTAACGGATAATCTGTAACTTATAATAGGAGAAAGTGTGTGCGACTTTTGGTACATTCTTATAGTCATCGAATATTCTGCAGTTTTAAGTCTCTTAACGACAGTATAATGACACGAATGATTATTATTTATTTTATTATATGTGACGTTTTATGAAATTATAATTTCTTTATTATACGAAATGGAAAAAGGACAGAGAACGTATTGCTCAAATGTTTAAATCTGTTTAATGCTGTTTAAATCTGTAAGTTGAGTTTTGAGAGACAAGGAGAAAGCGCGTGGATGAAAGGAAATTCGGTCGGCGGGTACGTGTGATTCCCGCGTGATAAATTAGGCGGCCGCATCGTCACGCACACGTGGCGCGCACCATGCAAATGATTAAGTGCAAATATGATATTGCCAACGTCATCATAAAGAAGAACGCACAGTTAAAGAGAAACCGTTTTTCTCGTAAATAAACAACGGGAAATGGAAAGTTCGGGGAAATTCAAAACCTGCAATTTCTCAGTAATCTTAATTCTCATCTACGCTCACAGCCTATCTGCTGAATTTAAATGAGTGACGTCTCTTTCTGAAAAATTGACACGTACTCGATAAAATTTTATAATAAGTAATTACAGCCAATTGAACCTTTCTGAAAATTTTTGCTAAGAAGGAGAATGGCGGCTGTTCGCACTTCAAGAATATATTGTTAAATAATCTGACCGTGAGAGAAACAAAGAGAAGACTCTCTGTACACTTATATATTTTTGTATGTGCGAGAGCGAACGTGATTTTTATCTGTAAACTTGAGCAATCCCGAGCAATGGCAAATTCTTTTGTCGTCTTCTTCGAACGCGTAAACGCTGCGAGAAGCAGGACAACGTTGCGAAAGCGTGCTACTCATCGCGTGAAATTTAGTGTAATAACAAGTCTGAGTTAACTCTCCGACATCTTCTTACACCTTTGTTACATTTGCCTTTTCTCTGGCATAAATTCAATTAATTCAATTACGATTATGTCATGATTGTCCGTTGCGTCATGTGCGCAGTAAAGTTTCATTTTCTGGACATCGCAGTGTTTTCCTGACTCGTACTGTAAAACACGATCATGACACGCAACCTTTATAAGAAAGTATCTTTTATCCTTCCGCCAATAATGTTATATATATCTCCTGGAAAAAAAGAAGAGAATAGAAAAGCAGATTTCATAACACTTTAGAAAAAAATATGTATCGAAGGTAAACTATAAAATCAATACTATCAATAGATGGTTCATGGAAAAACTCTTACAGCAAAGAGTTTAAATCTTAAATACCATAACTTAAATTTGTCGAGGAGCAGAAGACAGAAATTTTGAAACTACTGTAAAATATTTATGTAATTAAAAAGTTTTGCTTTTTAATTATTACAATTAAATTGTGACAATATATAAAAACACTTTCAAATATGATTATTAAAAAAAATAGCACAGCAACGCAGGAAGTTTAATAATAGAAAATAGCTACGATTTTATTAAAAAAATAAATTTATATGTTTTAAGTTTTATGGACAGATATATTAATTTGCAAACAATTTTCAACTCAATTGAATCTTTCTAACCATGCTCTTGCATTCATTTATTTACTAAATTGTTTGCTGAACAGTTTATGGAATTTAGAAATGAGCGCCTATGTTTCTCTGGAAATCAGGAAGACCTCGTCTGAAGGCAGACAACTCCTTTGGACTTTGCCTCCTCTGCTTCTGAAGTACGGAAGCGCCTCTGTTTCTTTTTTTCTTTATAAAAACACGGAAAAACACACGTGCGCCGTTCACATTTCTGTGGCTGTGGTACGTGCACTTTTTTTATGCGCGACAAGTAGAACGCCGCGCGCATTGATAATGCGGCGCGTTCGTTCAGGTGCTCGCTCGTGTGTAACAGGTGCAACTGCTTTATTACGGAGGTTTCCCTTCTTTTCTCCGACATCCCTGCCGAGCTCCCCGCGGCTCCCGCGCACGACAATCGATAATGCCACGCTGGGGCCACTCCTCACACTCCGCACGCACTTCGTGTGTGTGTGTGTGCGTATTGTTGAAAACCTTTCGCCCTGTTACCTCTCTCATAACGCGACGCCGTAAAAGCAACATTCGTGTAGGCAACAATAACGCGAACTCGCTCGCTTATATAACGCATTTACTTTATTTTTCCTCGGTTTCCACTTTGTTTACAGAATTTACGTGTAACGTACATTTTCGTGAGCATTTCGCTGCATGTGTACAAATCGAACAAAACGGTTCAAATATCTCGGTGCCCCACCATGTGCTTTCCCGGCTTATCGATCGGCGAAATATATATCGCAACGTTTGCCGAGCATTAACCCAGTCTACTTCTGAATGTGAATGTCCCTCGATAATAATCTAGTCTGTGTTTTTCCCGCCTACATAACGAGTTATCGCAGCTAAAAAAAGCAGTGGTTAGAGAGAATCAGTTGCAACTTTAGATACCGTTAAAAACGTTCCTCGTTTTGATGCTTCTCGTTAAAAAAAATTATATTTTTATAATAGAAATTAATATTTCCTTTTTCTTAATATACAGTTAGTTTGACATAGTCTTTCCAATCTGAACACATACATTTAAAGCTACAACAGTTATATTGTATTTTTGATATAATTTTTTGATATAATCATAACATCACGATAAAAGAGTTTATCAATTAATAAAACTTTAATTACTTTTTAATTTTATATAACATATGTTACAATATTTAATAATATTTAAATAGTTAATATATCTACTATATATTTTTATTTAAGACTAAAATAAATAATGCTTTTCTATTAATTGTTATTGCTTTAAACTCAGCAGTTATCAACATTAGTCGCATTAGATTAACTTTATTCCGATGAGATTCAGTTTTTGCCGTTCATGGATAGTATCTAATGAAATTATAAGGTCCTTGCCACTCCCGTTTCCAGCTGCGCCTCTCGCGGATCGATAACGGAGGAAACCACCCTTTAACTCGTAGCTCGGGGATAAAATCTCCGAATCTCGTACACAAAATTGCATCACCGAACGATCATTCCCCACGTATAAAATTCTGCCTACGAACGAAACTCTCCGTTTAAAACGGAATTTATATATCGACGTAGTTGAGATTCTAAAACTGCATTGGATAAAATCTTTAAAATACGTAAAATACTTCTATAATTAAACATCAAAATAAAATCGTGCTCTACTTACGCTCTTCACCGTTACTTCGATGATTCCCTTTAATATACAGTATTACATAGTATTATACATCCGTTAATCGATTCAACGCTTACTGGAGCAAAGTCGAGTCCGAACTCGATAAAAAATGCACTTCGATTAAGTCGATTGACACAGGAAAATTTTTTTAACATTGTTTTGTCTTAGCATTTTCTTAACAACAATACGTACAAAAGGTACGAACTAGATAGGTACAAATTAAATACATTTATAGAAGAAAAATTTGTCTTTCTAATTATGTTTTATATCTTTCAGCTTTCCAGTTATTAAAAATTTGACGATTTAATTGAAATATTTCATCTCAGCTTTCTAAAGAAACTCCAGAAATGCCTTCCCGAATTTTAAAATCATGCCAATACGGTAGCACGATACGCGTTTTACAACACATTCGCCGCGTTGCATGCATCGCACGTTTGCGACTTCCGAATCGCGAAACAGCGCACTCGTTCGCCAGTTAGCTGTTAGACTCGTTTGTTCTTTTTTGCTCGTTAGAGATCGGTCGGCGACAGGTTTACGTTCAACGCAGCATGCGCAGTGCTCTGTACTATATTCACGATCATTACGCTACTGCTTTGAACCAGATGAATTTTTCGTGCGAATAAGGACTAATACGAACTCTCAATCACCGTTTTATGCTGCAAGCAGTACAGGATATTCAAGTTATTTTATTTCCTCCGCATGACGAAGTCTCCAACTAGCAGCAAACGTATACAGAATGTCTAAGAATTAGGTCACATTATAACATAGTTCAATAAATAACAAGCCCGATATGTATAAAAAATTGTAGTTTTTTTTAATATTTCTTGAGAGTTTTGTTTCTGCATCACTGAAAAATGTAGAATGTAAAAGAAAATTCAGCCAAAAGCCAGAATTCTCCCAGAGAATGAACGAACTGTGAGAAGGATCTTAACTGGCGTTAAGAAAGTCAAGAATGTCGTTGAACTGTCGTTGCGCGCGAGTTTTGGAATGCGTGTCAAGCTTTTTGCACGATTGCTAGAACGGTTCTTCGCTTCGTGGACAACCATGAAGCAGGACGTTACGTCTCTACTCACCGTACTACATCCTTCAGATTTCTATGATTACTATCCGCTTCAACCGATATTAACAAAATCGGAAAATATATCGCTTTGATCAGCGTTGCATAAAAAGAAATACCGGAAAAAGGGAGAAATATTAATTATTTCTATAAACATTGTTTTTTGTTACTAATTCTTGCTCTACAAGATTTTAAAGGAAAAAATTGACGTTTATTAACAGCTTTTTAAATACGTATATTTATTAAAAATGACTAATACAAGATGTGGAAGGATTTAAAAAATTATTACTACCTTTATAAATAATTAAGCTTCTAAAAATGTTTCCGAGTAACGAAACTTATGCTATATCGCGGCAATAGCCATGCTTCGATAGAGTAATTCAATAATTGCGAATGCGGGCTACTGCGTTTGCGGCGAAACATACCGACACATGCGTACATTCCCTTCCATGGTTCTAGTAAATAACTCCGGTAGTGAGTAATTTAATTACTCGCGGATACGCGCAATATAGCGTTTTCTAAAGGAAAGATAAACGAAGTAGGAATCGGTCGAGTAAAAAAAAGAAGAAGAACGATAACGCAAGTAAAACGGAAGCGATGATTGTGTGCCGAACGCGTAATAAAGGTGCACTGGGTGAATTAAGTAAAAAACGTTTGCCAAAGTAACATCTGACAGAAATACGGCCGTAGAAATTTAATTATATACCATGAGAACGATTGAAATAATGTTGGTGAAAAGTCGGAAAAATTTATAATTACATATTTATTCATCAATTACACAATTTCTTCTGTGATCTCGTTTGTATCATGTTTATCGTGGTTAACGGATAGTTTCGCCTAATCGACCGCTGAAACTGGAAACTGAGTTCTCTCAGGCCGAGGCACACGGCAGAACTTTCGCCCACGCTCTCGGTGCGTAGTACTATGTCCCGGATACGGCGCGGCGTTCACGTGCGTGCATGTACACAGGTTCAACTGTGAGTAACGCGCTGCGCGTTTTCCGCGCGGTGGGAACTGGAGGAAGTGAGATCAAATTCGCGGAGAGACAATCCGAAGGTGAAATTACCGCTGACGAAAGACAGACGCGCGTGATTACTCGCGCGCTCGAGACCGACCGGGTGATTTAATTAATTAACCTTCCCCGTCTGGTATCGCGTGGGACATGAACATACGTGGGTGGGTCTATGTGAGTATCAATCTTAATTTTGGGATCTGCGACGAATTGAGTTACATACTACGAAACGTACTAATTCTCCAGGAAACAAATTAGAAAAGGCAAGGAAAATTTATTAGAAGCTAGGAATAGAGAATTAAACAATTTTGTTTTTAATTACAACAGTAACAATAAAGTTATATGATAATAATACTGCGATATAGCACAATTAAGTGTAAAGAAAGGTGCATTTCTCAGATAGAGAGGCCATAGTTCTCAGATAGAGAGTGCCATATATTATAACAGACTTTCTTTAACTGATGACGTCGCAGTTGATAGAGCTCGCGGGTATATACGCTCCTATGAAAGTGATTTTTCTCAGACGAAGCGCGGAGATTATACCTCGATATACATTCACCTTGGCATACATTACGACTATTTACAAAAGCCGAGAACCGATTCGTGCGCATCCGACTGTGCCGTCGCGAGAATATTATCGGGCATGATTGGGCTGCGTCGCGGAACGACGATTATCACGTTATCTATTTGATGAACGACGTTACCCAATATTTAATTGTTCGCTATATAGTTCGACGTTACTCAGCATAATGCATAACGACCATTATCTCGACGAGCAAAGTGAAAAGCAAATGTCGCTGCTTTCATAATGCGGTATACTTAAGACGGCCCATTTAAAAATGCTTACTTTTTACTTTTTTTTCTACTAGAACTTGCATATCAGTTCGCAAAGAAAATATATTGCAGCTTTTTGCACACAGTTTCTCGATGAACGTCGTGCAATTTGGAAGAGACGCAAATGAGAATCGTGAAATCGATTACATAACAACGAAGTTTCGATAAGAGGATAAAGGAGAAATATAATATAATTTAGAAGGCTATAATATATGCTAAAAATTTAGATATTTAAGAAAAAAAAACAAATTAGAAAAATTGTATTCATAATTATTAAAATATTCTTTTCTCGTGTAGAAACTTTCCACACATATGATTTTTACGACTTCTCCTCGCATACCATTATCGTATCACTCGTTATCAAAACTCGCCAGATACTGGACCTTGAACGTGCCATGGAAGCTGTTGACACGCTATTCGTTCACAAGAAGGCAGGAAGTAAAAATATTATCGTGACTCCTATTCCGTTTAGCTGAAGAACAAATAGTCGAATGAACGGATCCGTCAGTATAACTAGTGTTTCGTTCCGCATTGCATCTCTTTTGGGCGACATTTTCCTTTCATTCGTTAAAATATCAAACTGTATTACTAAACGTCATTATTATCTCTGGATTTAAATATTCAAAAGATAATTATTATTTTTTTATTAATCTAGAAAATATCGCCGAATGTTAAAGTGATAACTAAAACCTCTCTGCTACCTTTGCTTAATCTAGTGAAATCATAATATCTTTTATCAATCCACGCCTGATCTGAAAAAGTGAAAATAATTTACTAGCGAAACAAATCTATAGAGTCCAAAAATTGAGTTAATCTCAAAAAGATGGCTCGATATTCCAATTTCAAGGAATCTTCTTCTCGTTCCTGGACCATTGACAAAATGGCGCAACGTCTTGCTTCGAATTGGTTACTGGAGTGCTGTTGTGGTTCTTGTTACGCGAGACAAAAAGCAGCCTCGCGTTCAGGACAGAATAACACGAACGAGATAGATAGGAAGAAGAACCTGGAGTCTGAATCGCAGAATCTACCGATCGATTCTGCAAAAACGAGAAATGACGGTCGACTCACGGTGGAGCAAATTCCTTTGACGAAACGCGATTACGAAGTGTCGAAAAACGACGAGTTGACATGCAGCGTCAATGAAGCTTCATTAACAAGTCGCGAGGATGATTCTTTGATCGATTCTCAGGATTCGAAGAGCAAATCTTCGTTCGGCAGCGGGACTCTGAGCAGTGGAATGAAGCGTGTAATCGAGAGTCTATCAGTCCCTCCAAAGAAGGAGAAGAAATTGCTATCGGTTAATGACGAAAAGAAAGCGTCGCAGAGCGACTCGGAGCTAGGATATTCCGCGAGTATCTTCGACAAATGCTCGACGCGATACGGACAGCAGAAAGTGTCCGCGATGAACATTCCTGAACTGATAATAAGTTAGTTAAAAAGCGCTTTTAACAATTATAGATTTGAAGAGACGGCAAAAGTAGTAGAAAAATTTAATCGAAATTGTTTCTAATTAAATTAAATAAAAAATATATATACATATGATAATATGATAATATATATAAATATGATAAAATGTAAAGTGTATATAGATATAATTTATATGAAAAATATAAAAATATTTCGACATACGCCAATGAAAAAAGTCATTTGAAACGATTATAGAAATCATTTTAATATCGTCACTTTAAAGTAAAAACTTCAAAAATATGATTAAAACGGCAATAAAAAGTAAACTAACGCAGCATTTTATTTGTTAATATCTAACAATTTAGAGAGAGAGAGAGAGAGGAGCAAGACTTTCGAAACTATGCTTACCGAAATAATTGTTTTATTTTGAAACTATCATGAAAATTCTATTTCTTAAATATGTTTATTCTTATTATCTCTTGATAGTTGGACATTGAAATATGAGCCATCTGTTTTAAGTAATCAAATTTCCTCATGATATCACAGACGATGGAAGCAGTTTGTCGGAGGCATGCAGTACGCCGATTATCGGAGCAGGATCACGAGCAGGCTCTAGTCATACGGTCCTAGACATGGACGACATCGATCCGGGCCATCTCGCCACTCGCTCGTCTCTGTCGAGTCTCGGGGTAAGTCGCAATTTATCGTTGGAGAATTTCTTTTTCGCCTACTGTGCATGAAGGATGGAGTCGTCAGATTGCAGCCGCGTTTCGCTCGAACCTCATTGAACCTCATTGACCTTCTCGTTCCCAACTTTCGAGAGAGAAACCGTACCTATTATCGCAATTTAACGAGGAGCGGATTGCAGTGTATTGCATCTCGCTCGGATTGACGGAACGGCAGGACAGGCGATAGGCCGGAGAACGACGCGAACTTTACGACGCCGAGATTGCCGTTCTAAAGTCCTCACGACTCTAATTTTCGCGATTCCAGGCACGCTCGGACTCGATGGCGTCGGTATACAGCGGTGCGGGCGAGGGACGCTGCTGTCGATCCGTGGTAGTCACAGGTGAGGTAGAATTCGCCTTGCAGTACGACTACAAGAATTTGACATTCGAGGTGCACGTGACCAGGTGCAAGAACCTTGCACCCGTGGACGTGAAGCGCAAACGATCGGATCCGTAAGTACCCAATTTAAAATTATCGTAATATACATATATATGTGTGTGTGTCTGTTCAATTTTTTTATCTCCTACATTTAAGTAGAACGAACTTTATCACGATGACGTTGCTTCTTCACAAAAATATATAATTAATTCTTATTTGCAATTATATTTTTCTTTACAAAAAGTTTTTTTTTTTTCCAAGACAATATCGTGAAAATTTAATATATGAAAGCTTAGCTTTTTATAATTTTTTGTTCCTCTTTCCTTCTCTCAGATACGTCAAGGTGTATCTGCTGCCAGATAAGTCGAAAAGCGGTAAAAGAAAGACGAAGGTGAAGAAGCACACGTTAAATCCAGAGTTCAACGAAACGCTGAAGGTAAGTTGGACGGATGTCCGCTGCTCGTTTGCATGACAATTAGAAATTCGATGTTTCGTCATCGCGCGGTTTTAGTTCCATATGAGCCTGAGTGGCCTGGAGACGAGAACGCTGTGGCTGACGGTCTGGCATTCGGACATGTTTGGTCGCAACGATTTCCTCGGCGAGGTGCGAATGCCGCTGGAGAACAAGATATTCGACGATCCGACGCCACACTGGTATCCCCTTCAAGAGAGGGTAAGATCGCCACTAATTATAATATCAAAATAGCGAAGACAACGGCACTTGTGACTTTACTTCGGCGAAAAAATAAAATTGAGAAGCGTTATCTCGAAACTTTAAAGCTAGAATAATTGATCGTTTCCGAGTGAAGTAAGTCTCTGCTCATTATGCATCGGATGGATTGCATCATTGTGCATTTAGCAGATTGCGTCACTGTGCATTCAGCAGAAAACGTTGTTATTCATTCTTTCCGTCGAAACGCAGGCTGCAACTTCAGTGCTGCTTAATTAAAGTGCTTTCGATGTGTTCCAATACGAGCGCGCATGTGAATGGCAAGGTGTATTCTTATAAATATATGTGTCTTAAATATAGTCAAATATATCAAATATATCAAATAGATAAAGTTTTATTTCTTTATTCCTAATTTTTTAATTAGAAATTTCTTACGATTCCTAATAGTATAATCTTTTAATGTACTAAATAAAATTTGTAATTAAAATTAAATTTATAATTAGCGAATCAAACAGAATTTTCGATAATTTTCGAAGCCTAGAAGGTTTTAATAAATATCTAAAATCTATCTTTCTCTGAACAGTAAAAATTCACAACGCGGAACACTTTCAAGGATAAAATTCCAAATTTTTTATTTACACAAGTCCTTCGAAATCTCATTTACGTAACAAAGAAAAAAAGCGCGTGTCGTTACGTATGATAATTGCTCACAGACGGAACCGTTTGACGATCCGGTCGCATACAAAGGCGAGGTGATTGTTGGACTGAAGTTTGTTCCGCCGGATCCGGCGCAGCAAGAACGCGATCGGGAAAGCGGTGCGGAACGTGGCAATTCTAAAGCGAAAAAGAACTGGAGCCGCGGCGCGCTCCACGTGCTCGTCAAGGAGGCCAGAAATCTGCAGACGCGCGGCAAAAATTCAGGCACCTGCGATCCCTTCTGTAAAAGGTATATTTTCTTGCCACTTTGTATATTATTTCTTATCTTGACTATTTGAACTAATATTTCTATTATATATTATACACAATAAATAAATAATAAAGGTGGCAATTTTTGTTTTTAAATTAGAAAATATATGTTTTAACTATTTATACTGTATTAGTATACTAATTTAATATATATGGATAGTATATTTAATAAAAATTAATAAAAATTGGTTTTATTTTTCGCTTTTCGCTTTTTAATGCCCATTTCCACCAATAAAGATTAACTTCGCACACACACACAATCTCGATTTAATTTCAGCTTTTTTCTAATTCTTAGAACTGCAAAAAGATGAAGAATAAGTTGAACCGAGATTAAAGTTAATCTACATTGATGATAATAGGCATAAATCGTAAACTTAACGTTTTCAGAGTTTAGAAATTTTTTACGTCGCCTGCACTGTGTTTCAAGTTTCAAGTTGCAATTTCTTTCAGTTATTTGCTTCCCGACAAAGGACGATCCGGTAAGCAGAAGACTGGCGTCGTTCGTAGATCAGGTGGTTCGCCAGTTTGGGGACACACGTTTATCTACAAGGACGTTAGTTTACAAGAATTGGCGGAACGTGGATTAGAATTAACAGTCTGGGACCACGATCGAATCGCTAGCAACGAATTTCTTGGTGGCGTTCGGTTTAATCTCGGCACCGGTATGTATATATAAAATCATAATTTGAAATTGTATATCCAGATTATTAATTTTCTTACTAATCAAATTGACTTTGTTAATATATTTTGTCACAGATGGGATAAATAATAACTTCTCGAAACCTAGTCGGAGAAAAGTTAATTAATAGAATATCATATTTCTTGGTTCAGTTTGCCACATTTTAAACATTCGGCGAAGATAAAGTTTTTGGGGGGTATTTTCGTTGTAGTACAATAGTATAACAAATGCGAATCTCCGTTTCAGGGAAACATTACGGGAAACCGGTGGACTGGATGGACGCGACCGGTCGCGAATTGTCTCTCTGGCAGAACATGCTCGAGAGACCGAATTTCTGGGTCGAGGGCGCAGTGACGTTAAGGCCAAACTTGCACAATCACGGGAAGAACAACGGTACTTAAAAGCAGCAATGCGATAACGTCGCGCCAGATTTTGTTTCCGACAGAGGAACGGGTTCGGAAACGCCGATTTAGTCCAAGACTTTGTACATAGCTCTAAAAGCGTCGCGCTTACAACGGACGTGATTTTAAATATTCGCGAACAAAGAATCAGTGCCTTCGGAAGCGACGTAGACTCGTCTGATCTTCCTGAATAGGCAAAATTCTCTGCGAAATTTCTGTCAGCCGCAAAAATCGTTTACGAGATTTTCATAGCCTTGTAGCCGATGAAAATATGCGTCACACTATCGGTTCCAATTAAGCTTCATATCCCTGTGTAACCAGTTATGCGCATTAAATTATTTTTGGTTCCCTACCCATTCTTATTTCTACGTTGCCCATTATTAATATCTGTACAAATTGTACATTAAAATTTCTATATAAAATTTTTAATATAATTTCCAACGAACACGTTGCACAAGATGCTTGCTTCTATGATGTATTTTATAAAATCGATTCTTTTCAATTTTTATTTTTTTGGCTGCTTCGCTTTGACTGGTTCAAAAATATAATTATTTAATTATTAATTATTATGATGAAAATCAAACTTTAATTATTTTCATAATTTCTTTTTATAATAAAATTTAATGATTTAGAAGATATGCCATCATATTTGCAAATATAGAAAAATCGATGTTCTCATTAAGAAAATATAAAATATTATTATTCGCAGTATGATTTAAAAAAAATATAAATAGAACATTTTTGCTTATTAGAAAAATATATTATGAACGCACTGCTTATTAGACTTTTTAATTTTTGGTTTATTTTTTAACACATTTTTTTTACGCAAAGTTGCGAATCGTAACAACATATATATTAATGTAATTGACGTGCCAAATATTAAAAGTTGTGGCGAATTCATGCTGTAATAAATTTCCTTAAGATAAAATTATTATTTAAGATAAAATTATATTACAATTTACTCAATTTCAATTGGTTACACTTATGAAAAATATTATTTCTTTCATTATTATAGCTTCAGTAATTGTATAATAGCAAAGCGAAGTACATTTTATTTTATTTGTCTTTATGAGAGCTGCGTCTTTGTGTCTCGTAACTCCTTCTTTTCTTTTTAAATTGTAATTACAAAAAGCCTCAGTTGGATATATAAGCTGGGCAAGTCATTAAATTTCAAGTGCAATATTATGAAGCATCGAAGATTTTTGAAAAATAAAATATAGTTAGATTTTCGAAACGTCCGAAAACGAGATGAAAAGCAAAAGTGCGTCCGTCCAAGACAACTGGCAAGATGATTATTAGTATCCACATGCACGCGTATATGCATATATGTGCGTTCTTCGCGGATAGCGCGAAGAAATTGCTCTCGCCGAGTTCCAAACGTAGAATCACGAAGTATTTCGTAATTTCGCGAAATTCTACCTCATCAAAAGAAAAAGTCCGAAAATTAGTCTGATGGCACGATAGTTTAAAAATGGAATAAAAATTTTTTAGACTTTACAAAAGTGTGCTGTTAGTCAATAATCGCTGAAGATTGTAGTAGTAATTACATTTATTATTACGAACGTAAGTTTTGTAAGAAGCGAATGAACGACGGGGCCGCAATTATATTTTTACACTTTGAAATTACGAATTTTAAAATTTGATTAATATCGTGTAGGGCATCGTCTAATCCACATTGGATCCTCAGATCCGAGAAATGAGAAATTATATAACGGTATAGTAACTCATATACGCGATGGTGAACTCAGGTTTTTTTTATAAAAGTAGGATACGCTTCCTTCGTTCATTCGCTTCTCTTCGTCACTTAAATTACCAAGCGAATCGGACGAGATGTGATCAAAAGCGTTTGGAACATTTGAACAACGTTGTGGACACTTTCCTTTCTTGGAGAGAAAGATGCTTCCAGTGTGTACAATAGGAACGAGCGTGTTTCCCGAGTGAACGTACGAACGAGCGAGTGATGGAACGGTGTATTTAAGGGATTTAAATATGACCGCTTCCTCGAGCAACTTGAACGAAAACGCATTCTCGTAGATGTTATATTTATACGTATACATATATATGTACAAGCGTCGAATCCGTCGCCGCTGAAATTCCCGAAGGGAAAATTCGCCATTCATAATTATATTTCCAAAATTATAGAAGCTTTCCCTCCGGGGATTCCAGGACGATCGTAAAAGGCTCGTATTCGCGGTGCGCGTTTCAGCGGCGATCCGTTTTTATTGTCGTCCATTTAGCGTTAAATAAACGACTGTTTTGATCCAATATCTATATAATATTCGACAGTCGGTCGTGCATTTAGCGCCAGATGCACCGCTAGATCGTGTTATAAATATCGACGATTCCCGAGGGTTGAAAGATAAATCGAAGGTCCGAACTAATGACTTCGTACTTAACTGATTTATTATACCTTCGATTATTTATGAGTATAACATCGTAAGTCGTAATTATTTCTAAGACTCTCTGTCTCTCTTCCTAAAAACAGGGTTAACGAAAGGGAACTGTGAAACTGCCTTTAACGTTACGTAGAAATTTGTGTGATGCGTAAACTCCCTGGCTAAAGATAGATGAATTAAAAATTTTGGAAAAGGGTATCTGTTTTATTTTTAAGTGCAATGATCTCCCAAGTTAAAGATTTATTTGATAATTCTTGAATTTTTATCCTGATATATCATCAAAGAAAAAGATGTATTTAAGTTAAGAAATTTGGATGTTATTATTTTTTAAAAGAAAATTGATTTATTTGATTTATTGATTATATGCTCAGAGAGAGATTAAAATAGAATAAAAATGAAAATAAACAGATAAAATTTAGAAAACTAAAACATCGAACTCCCGTAGGAGAAGTATTATTGAATTCATAAATTTAATAAAATGAAATTTTTATGTGAATTCTTTTTAATTCAACTATCCTTTATAGGGCCAATATGTGTGTCTTAAATTAATACAAATTTTGAGATATACATAGTTGTATAAGACTTCGACATTCCTGAAATACTGAACTTAGTGTTTGTCGTTGCGATAATTGTATGTCGTGCGCATTTACGGACCAATAGAGAATCAAGGATTTTATTACGATAACCCATTTGCGTGTTTTTTTTTACCCCGATAGAGCCTCCAAGTTACTCTACGTATGTTAGTCCAGTTAGCACTTAATGTTATGGAATGTAATGTTAAAAAACTTAGAAAAACAGACATTTATTTATATGTCGCTCGTCGGTGTACATGATAATAAAAGTTTTATACGTTTACTCGTATATTTCGCATTTATTCATTATAAAAATGTAAATGTAAAAAGTTATAAACATAAATCAGATAATTCGAGAGAAATCATTACTCATATTACTCTTGCAAGAAAAAGATATTTAATTGGTATTAAATAATGACAAAATTCATCTAAAAAAATAAGGAAAATATGAATCATCATAATATGAAAAATTATAAAATGATTTTGTCCAACACAATCATAATAATTAATCAAGCAATTCTTTTCGTAATTTTATATGTTTTATTTTAACAGTCATTTTTTAAACAATATATTGTTTAAAATTTACAATGTTTTTTTCATTAAATATCGTAAGCTTATAAATTTATTTTTTATGATTATATACATTATTTTTATATATATCTATATTATAGCTGTTTTAAAGTAAATATTGTAATTTATATTAAAATTCAATGGTCACTGATATCAAAATATAAGTCTTATTATAACTCTCGGTATGAATGTCCTATGGTATATATAAATCTGTATATATGTCTTTATCATCAGTATACGATATTAATCATATGATATCGCGTGCGATAGACTTTTTTAACGTCGCAATCTGAGAAAAACATCTCGCGTTGCTAACTGATAATTTTTCATTAATATCAATCATATTTGACTAGAAAAATAATTATTTAGGCCACGCTTAAAAACATACATACAGTCCTCGATTACAGATCGTTGTTCGAGATGAATCTGTTGCCTTCCGAATTCTTGCCGGAATATCGATACTTGCATTTACCATATGCACCTGGCAAAAAATTTATCACTAGTGTTGCATTTACTATGTCTATTTACATATTTAATTTTAAAAGGTGAACGTTTTTAAAGTACAATTCAAAATGTCAAAAATGCTTAGAATAACTTTTAGTTACAATTTATTTCATAATTTGACTTAACTATACCTTTGTGATCCTGAGGATTGCGCAGCGAACTCGGCAAGGGCGTGTAATGGATATTGAAGTATATGTCATCGAACTCATTATTGATTTGCGTCGAACTGGGTACGAACTTGCGAATTAATTCTGGGATGAACTTAATCGTCTTGGAATATCTGCCGCGAGTCTTGGCGTCCAATCTCTCCTGCTGAGTGACTCTCCGGGAGTCCAGAAAGCGAAGACTCGTAGGTAAGACGTGGATGGCGTATAGCCTGTAACGCTCGTAATCGTCTTCATCGGTGGATGTCGGATTGGTCAGCTGATCGGGACAGCCGGGATTGCCCAGGAGACTCACGTATTCCACATTGGGACAAGATTCTTGTATTTTATCGAGGGCTTTGTCGATATTGGATATCTAAGAAGGAAAAAGCTTATCATATTTGGCTTCTACGTACCAAAAAATTCTGCATAAGTCTCTAATAACAAATAGAGAGAAATTTAAAAAATTCAAGAAAAAGATATCTTTGCTAATTTTTGAAACGCATAATTTTTCTAAGAATTTTATTATTTCCTTTGTTGCTTCTTCGAATAGAGCAGACCTTATTATTGTTCACACTCAAAGTGGTTAAAGTCGGCATATACGGTAGCGTTTTGAGATTGTCGAGTTTATTGTTGTCCAGGATCAGTTCCTGAAGCTGTTCAAAATCCTTTATGCCAGAAATAGTGGTCAGTTCATTATAGGAGAGATCCAAGCTGAGACAATCGTGACCAACGACTCCTATCAATCCATTAGGAATTTTTTCCGCTCTTTGCCCGGTGTACCATGCCTAAATTATCAACGTTGTAAAAAAATGAAAGTAAAGAAAATATAAAAGTAATAATAAAAATGTAAGAAAAATTAAAAATATAAAGAAGAAGAAGAAAATTACAATTACTTTCAAAAATCAGCTCTTATAAATTCCTGACAGCTTCTTTTAAGATTATTTCCCACGATGTTCAGTAAATTTCTCGTGAATATTTAATTGTAAAAAATTTAAAAAAGTCTTAATTGTTTCTAATTTAAGTTAAACACACAAATTTGAATTTAAGGAAATTTTAATTTTGGATTAAAACCTTGTGTTCCACGATTCTAGAAATTGTTTTGAGATCTCGGACGGAGAAAAAACCAATCCGCATTTAATTGGCCGAATTGTTCAAATGTGATTTAATTGTTAATTTTTTCTCTATGCAAGATTTCGGATTTCTAACATGCATGGACACAAAGCTCAACTTTTACAAAGACATGCAATATTAAAGATTAAAATGCTGACGTCAGTGATAGTCTCCTATTAAATATTAATTTAGAGAAAATCGACTTTAGAAATCAAGACATTTCTAAGCACGAAGAAATGCACGATCTTTTGATACACTCCTTATTTATAGCACGCAAGTGGCTCACATATATCAGCTGTATAAAAAAAAGAAGTTGCTATCAATTCTTTCAGTAAATATAGGATTTATTTTTTTCAACGGCATTTTTTACATTTTCTTCCCATTTTTTCCTTTTTTCTCCAAATTTGACCACATACCATTTCCACTTTATAATAGCAAAAAGTACAAATAAGTGCAACCAAAAAACGCAGACCGGCGATGTTATCAATCAACGCGATATGTGCACTGAGACGTGTGCATCGTGACTTGTGCATCAATTAAATGTTATTACGTGCAATTAAAATTGCAAAACGATTACGATTACCCGTCCGCTATTAAGCGTCAACGCACTCCTGTTGAAGTCTTGCTCACCGTAGCCCGCCATGTTGAACATATGCTACGCACCGAGAGAATTATCGGCACAGTTAATAACGTAGATAACGCCTTGTGCGTATGCGTGTGTCCGCATACATTATTACTGTAATATTAAAGTTCGATATCTTGTTCTTGTAATCATATGTTCAGTACGGCTCGTTGGTCTAGGGGTATGATTCTCGCTTAGGGTGCGAGAGGTCCCGGGTTCAAATCCCGGACGAGCCCGATTTTTTTTCATTTTTTCTTTTATTTATTAGTTTTAGAGTTACAATACAGTTCTAACGATTATAAAACTATATCTCACATTTTTGTCATTAAAATATAATTTACATCAATAGAATACCAGATAAACTGCTGGACATGCATACAAATGCTCTTATTTTTCATTAAATTTTATTTTAGATAACTGATGTTTCTCTCCATGTCTTATTTCATTTTCGTGAGTCTTATATTCCTTAAACTTTTAGACTTTGGCTCTAAACTTATTTATATATTATTTATAATTCTTGTGTATTATATATTTTTATATATTGGTTATAATTCTTTAGTATTTTTCGGTGTAAATAACTAGCATTAATCACACATGTAGCACATATCACACAATAGATAATATAGATAACACAAAACTAAAATCCAAGTACTTAATTTCATAATGGCATAATGCAGTATAATATTGGGTTATTAATTAATAAAACTTAATATTTTACATTATGAAATCGTTCAAAGTTTTCTTATTCTTTTTCAGCTTATGTATCGTGTGAGATGTGCTACTTATTCTTAAAATTGGAGCCTTGCTGGAAGAAGGACCTGCCTTACATTCCTCAACTTTTGAATGCTCTTGTTCATTATCCAATTCTTGTTTGAGCTCCGGAATAGACTCGTTTCCTGACGAATTGGGAAGAACATTTCCATCAATCTTTGTACCATTAGTGCCACTAAAATGAATAAACAAATGCAATAAATATTTCATATATCTTTTATGGCACACCAAACAATACCTTGCGCTGTTCGAAGACATTTCAGACTCTAGTTTTACGTGTGATTTTGGCAAGTTTATTTCATTGTAAAAATGAAGCACAGACTGGAAAGTCTTTACGAAATCGCTTGCAGTCGATCCAGCAGCATCAATGTGAAACAATTCTTCGCTGAATGGCTTCGTAGCGATATATTCTACATACAAATAATAATTTGTAACTTTTAGCTCTAAAGATCAGTGTGATAACATATCGTGCACTATCCAAGAAACGCGTACTCCTAATTAACTGTGCGCCTCCCGCTTTGTACTCCGCGATCTCTTCATCCTTCTGTTTCATCAGATCCAGCAGAAGCTCGTGCCGGCGAATCAGTTCCCTTGACGACAAGCAGAGAGGCACTGTCACACTCTCCCAAAACTGCTGCGGTGTTCCTTTGAGAAGATCCAACGAGAATTTCAATTTACCGAAATCTTTGTTTTTCCGCCGCAGCTCTATTCGATATGTAGTAACTTCTAAAACGTTTGTGTGCACGTATTGAGGGATATCATTTAACATATCCAATACCAGTTGCTTCCAGTCAAAAACTTCAAGGTTTAAAAGAGGATTCATGGTCTACAAATTAATTCGTTTCATTACATACAAGTGTGTATAAATATAAAATAATTTTCTTAATGAGAAACTTATTGAAAACTTGAGAAACAGCATCACTGTTTGTAAAATAATTTTCAATCTATGCTTCTCTTTTATATTTACACTTGTTAAAGAATAAAAAAATTTTAATTTATATATGTAATACACTTGTATTACACTTTTGTAATACACTTTAATTTATATACGTAATATACTTGTATTACACTTTTGTAATACACTTTTAATTTATATATGTAATATACTTGTAATAATAGAGACAATTTGTAGTACCTGACATTTGTGAAACATAGTTTCGTTTGTCAGAGTCTCCGTCCAAATTTCTATTAGATTTGTTAAAAGAACTTTCCACGACTCATTTTCCTTTGTAAGACAGATTATATGATCTGTCTCATCGTTTATTTTAAGGTTTTTCCAAACTCTGCCCTGCCCGCAGAGATCCGAAAACATATTTATTTTCATCGTAACAATATAAAAAAACAAACGAATTATTTAACGTTACAAAAAGTTTGAAATAATTTGGTTACGTATTGCACGTTATAGGTTATAGGTTATCACATAACCTTTGTAGTCTCGTCTTGTTCAATTTATTAACACATTTTTATAATACATTGTTGTTAAAAAAAAGTGTACTTTATTATATAATTAATACATAAATCTATACATTATTTTTCAGATAAAATTCCAAAAGTATTTATATTTATTAATGTTATTCAGAACTGATAGTCATGACCAGTCGGTAGTCATGAGTCATGACCAGTCATGACACGCACACCGCACACGATAGTGCACGAATATGTCTACTGTCTACCGTGCGCGATATATCGATTGAAACACAATTGTTACGCTTGCACATGATGGATACGCACATCACAATAGTACTTTAATCGATACATCGAAACGAAATAATTAAAATAATGTAATAATCCCACTGTGTGTTATTCAGATTCGTTGTTTTTTTCTTTTATCCTTGCTCTTCTTTATAGAACAATTCGCGTTTTTTTATATTGCTGATTTGATGATGAATATTAAATTGATCGATCAGTCGTTTCTTGCGATATGTCGATATCTCGAAAATGGTGATTCTCAAATAGAGGGATAATTTAAACTTTAAGATCTTATAACAGGGTACCCGAAAGAGACCTCTGTTATAAGATATTGAAAAGTTATAGAATAACTTAAAAATTTCAAAAATATGTTTTCTTAATTTAACGAAAACTTACTTATTCATTAAGCGTTATAAAAATTTATTTTAATAATAAAACATTGAAAAGAGAGAGCATTCTTTCATAAAAATATATTATTTACATTTTATATTTTGTGCAAAATATAAGATAATATAATAATCTGACTCATGTAAGTCAGTGATTAATAATAATATAAATATAATATAAAAAAACCAACAAAAATACATAATAATTTAACAAAAGATATAATCATAATTTATCTGATCCTCCTTCGAATCCGATTACGTATCAAATGTGATTGACTGTGCGTCGCGACTCGAAGTATTAGCGGTAAACGCACTTTTGGATCTGCAATTTTTCCGCCTCGATATTTCCTGCCAATTGGTGTACACTAGAGGATTACATTTGCTCGCGTAAAAGCATTCGCGAGATCTATCTGTTGTACGATCCTCGCACAATCTGTCAGAGAGCGAGAAATTTTCGGTTTTACGTAAACATGCCTTCGACGCATTGCTAGATACTTTCTCTCTCTTCGTTATCAGATAATTACGAAGCAACACGCCACTGCATTTCGACGAGAGTTCGAGAAATCCTTTCGCGAAAGCTTTATCAAACTTCGTAGATCGCTTTTCCGTATTACTATTTCCTTTGAAAAAATGTAAGGTTTATATTTAACAATTAATGCTCTTATGTGTTCAAATAAATAGTAATTTTTAATTAATAGTATTTATTATTATTACTTATTAATAATATTGTATTTATTTAATTAATTAATTATTTTATAATTAAATAAATATATTTTTATTTATAAAATAAAATAAAACAAAATTAAAGATATGTTAAACAATCTTACTGCAGTTGTAATAGATATTACCATGCATTTTCTCTCGAATAATTTCTTTTCTAACAAAACTTTTATTGAAATCAGTATTGGGTGATCCACATTTTCTCTTTGTATCACGAAATCTTAATTTTAAGCAGGGATTTCCTACTTCGTCAGTACATTGCGATGCCATTACATGGTTCGAGGCTACATGCTGTAATAAAAGTTCCTTAGAAAAAGTTGCAACAACTAGTTTCAATTTTAATTGTTAATTAGATCGTTAACAAATTTTTAAGATTAGTAAAGATATATAATTAATATATATTAATATATCTTAAGCAGAGTACACATCTTAATTAAATATTCATTCTAATCTAATCAACGTATACATTTTAATTAAAATTGACTCAAATTAAGTTAATGCTTAGTTTATACCAATTTTTCAAGGACTTGATCTTTTTTTTTGTATTTCAATGCCAAACTACTCAAAATATCCTTGGTATATGCATTTAGTTTTCTTGTGATATTTGATAATTCGTTGTACTCGAGTTTGAGCTGTTTAATGAGATAGTTCTCAACCCCTGAAATTGATATGTCAGGCTCGATCGCATTTTTGTTTAAAAGGTTGCAGGATACACCTACATCTTTGACCAGAACAGCATCTTGAAAGCCATCCGTTCTATTATTTCTATAATGAATTAATTTCCCTTCAATCCTCTTATTAATTCCTTTAAAATTATAAACTTTTTAATAAAATAAAATAAAAAATATAATGAACAATATGATGAACAAACCAATTTAAACTAATAAATATTTGCAAAAAACCAAAAGTAACATTTTTAATTATAATTTTTGAATTAATTAAAATTAATGAAAGTACGTTCTATCTGTACTTTCACATTTCATGTTACACTTTTATGTTTGCAGTAAATGAAAAAAAATCAAATCAACACCTGTAATAGGAAAATCCGCAATAATCTACTTCGCTTTCGATACTGCCCGGCTTTCGCGAAGGATCATTCTGGAGTACTGCGAATTCATCGCGCACATAATCTCTCGCGACATTAAGCAAATCCGATGGTACTATTGAAGCATGTCGAGTAATCGGATTTTTATCCCGTCGCGAAAGGAAAGCGTTCTTGGAGTCCTCCGTGCCGGAAATCGCCGAGTATTTTCTCCTCGTCGACATAATACTGATGGGCGCATCGCCTGCTTCCGGGGAGGCGCTAATTGCGCACACCTCGAGAGACAAGTTTTGCTAATTAGTCGACATCCAGAGTCGCGAGTTGTGTGCGATAGACGCGCGCACATACAAATACGCACACATACACCGTTATACATACACGTATATTGTTTTTTTTTTGTGTTATATATAATAGTTATAATTACCTAAGAATTTAACACGAAAGCAAATATGTGGCATCGCACATACGTCGTATAGGGAAGACAATTGCTTATTAACGGCATCGATTTAAACAACCAATTAAAGGATTCGTCGAATGGATAATTACCGAGATTCGAAACTTCCTACGGCCCATCACCGAGAAGCATAAACAGGTACCATACTTGTGTCTCTGTCGCGTATTTTCGAATTCATCCATTACATCGTGTTAAATCGCGACATTACTGATTGATTTTGGAAACTAGACGAAGAAAATCTAATATTTACTTCTTTACATCAAAATGGGTTATGAATTTGCTTCTCGAAAAATTGATGATAAATGATTCTTGGTTGCGATCTACGGATAACTTCATTGTCGCTCATTTAAGAATCTGTACGAAGATCTATTTTCTAGCATATATAGAGAGTTCTGTATTTTAAATTCTTCTTTATCAAGAAAATTAAATTTTTAATCTCGCAAGTTAAATATATTTTATGAAAAAGTTATTTCAATAATTAACTTATAAAAATATTTTTTTACTCTTCTTCTACATATTAAAATGCTACAAATTGGAATCTATGTACCAGTGATAAAAAAATAATCTCATAAATCTAATAATGCATATTTTTTTTTCTAAACAGAAAAATTACGTTTAAAATAAAGAAGTTATATTTGGAAATCTTTGAGTTTCTAAAAATTAAACTTCATTAATTTCATGATGAATCCGCCACTGAATTGGTTTTAAATATCAAATTCTACGCCACTGGCGGTTTATTTTCTCCGGCCGACAATCGTGGTGTGCGCGATGACGATGATGGCGGCGCTACCGGATCGGCATCATCTTAGAAGCTTTGGGCACTCGAAGATGATGAAATTATTTGATATATTAAGCACATAATATTATACAATTAGCACTGAGCAATTAGTAAAATATATAAATTAACTACGACTTGAAGGCTCTTGGTAATAGTTCTTTAAGATCTATTCTCCAAAATTTCACTCTTCTATGATTCTCAATATAATAATAGTAATAACAACATAAAAAAGATGAAAAATTAATATACGACTCTTTAATACGACACTCTTTCTTCATTTGAGTTCTTTTTTTCAAGCTACTACCTAAATGAAACATCTTCATAATTACATAGAATTCAGGAGCCTGTAACCCTAAGGGGCCCATACAGGTGTACGTCACTGTACCGATTTACCAAGTACGGTTGGAGAACAGGTCGCGACGTCGCGGCCTCACAGTCGCGTCGGCGCTCCGTTCGCCAGTCGTCGTCAAACTTGTTCTTCTCCCGGGTCCCTGACGTGCCTTCGTTATCTCACTCGATCATGTGCAAATCATAGTGCGAAATTCGTTATTTGCGGATTCGAAGGATCCTTCGCGAGTGTACGGATTCGCATTGGATCCTGTGGAATTGTATTTGTCGCGACAATCGGGGTCCTTAGCGGTCCCCAGGTCCGCGATGTCTCTGCGCACCGCGGCGGGTCCAAGCCCGACTTGAGGAGACTCGTGAGGAAGACAGACTACCGACCGATTTGTGTCCCAAAAAAATTAATTGCCCTTTGATGAATGTGACATTAATGTCAAAATAATAATAACCGGTTGACTGATTAACACAATATGAGAAAATATTACAAAATACTGTAATAATTAAAATAATAAATAATCGTTAACTGAGAGTCGAGAGAAAGTAGCGACTACCGTTGGTTCGCCAAAGGATCTCGGCAGAATTACAATGTGCGCGCGATGTCGGGGATTTCAGTGACATTTTCGCATTTACTTTTGAGTTGACTCGTACGTCTAGTCGACTGAAAGATCTGATCGGAATAAGAATGCGAGAAAGTGCACTAAATCGATATCTGAACCGAGTGAATTCGTCCAAAGTCGCAAAAAAATTGAAAAGTAGCGAAGATGCGCAAAGAGAAAAGGATTTGCGTGATCGACGAGAGGGATTTCAACAGTGATAAACGCAGCGTAATAATAACGTATGCGGTGCAAGGATATAATCACTGACTTTATCAGCAATTCTGAATCCTGTCTTTGGACTGGACGATCTTGGACTGTGCGTCTGCTCGAGACACCGACTCCGGCATCAAGTCGGACCGCCTCTTCGGAGCACCATATTTGGATTTGATTGTTGCTAAATAGTAATTTCTTCTAATGAATCGGGATTAGATGGATGATTGTGTTAAAATCGATAAGGTGCGCGTATCTCGTAAATATCGAGTGATCTGTGAATATCGAGACGACTCGAGTGAGATCGCTGCAGTGCGAATCGGATGAGACGTGTCGAATGGAGCGACGCTAGAATTTCTCGTAGATCATCGTTATCGTGGATCATCGATGTAGCGCGATGTCAGCCTGGTGGCCTGTCGTGGCGACGGCGCTTTGCTTCTGGATATGCGCTGGTGAGTTTAATGAGGGATTATGCCGGTCGACGAAACATATTTATATGGAATCAAAGATATTGGAACAGATTTATATTATAATATGTTTTGACTAGATTTAAGATATATAATCTGAGCTTGACGTTAATTAATATAATAATAAATAATTAATACAATAATTAATTAATATAATAAATGAAGAATCTATTTTTAAAAAATTCTAGTTTCGGAATATGCAGTAGGTATAAATATTCATGAAATTAATAAAAATAATATGAATCTGAAAGAATTGAAGATCTTTAGAATTTATATTATAGAGTAAAATAATTGTGTGTGTGCAAAATTGAAGATTCAAGAATCCAAGAATTTACCGACATTCCGTAAAACGGAAGGTATGTTATTAGAAGTAGTCTGTGGCTTTCTAAATGAACAGAAAACAATCTATGGCATTTGTGGAATCAAATAATTCTTAAACTATCCCTCTTTACAAAGACAAACGAGTATTTCAGAATAAAAAGATCTAAACTAGTAATAATTCTTTAAAAAATATAATTTCGAAATTGTTAATTCTGCAGTTTTCTTAAGGTAATTTTTAATATCAATATATGCGTTATGTTCTTTTGGAAAGAGATAAGTTAAATATATATAAATATATATATATATATATATATATATATATATATATATAAAAGCTTTCTAATATGTCATGGAGAAAGCCGCATGCATTCGGATCTATGTAAATCTTAGAGCAATCGTTACTCTAATACGTTACTCTAAATACATAAAATATCGCTATTTTGAGATCTAAATATACAACACATTTTTTTATCTAGAAGATAATTTTGCTATTCGTGCAAAGCAGCAAAGATGCAAAATAATGGCGTTACGTTCACTGTAGTAGATCTTGCTTACGCCAACGATTCCTTTCTCTCGAGACTATACTATTATAAGTTGCCTTTGCTATGTAACAAGACACCTTTTGTGCAACAATAGTCTCACAGTCGTTATTATCACAGAGTAATTCATCTCCATTCTAAATTTTCTTTATAAAAAATCTTAGCTAATTATTGATAAAATTTTAAATATTTTTAAATAATCTTTTCATATTCACGACAAAATGATAATTATAATAGCCTAAATTTTTAACAAATAATACAAATAATTCTATTAATTTTTGTAATAATGTCTAAAATTAATTTTTTCATTATTTTCCGTAACAAATGTTTATCTTAAATTGCACTTATAAATAAAGAAATTTAATTTTATGTAGTAAAATATTATAAAATACATATTACATAAAGATTTCAAACTATTAATAATATATATGTGAATGTAATGACAATAAATATTACAATATTCTTTATATGAAAATAATTTTCATTAAGTGTTAAATTAAATTTTTTGTACACATGACAGTTTCATTATAGATAATATCAAGATTATAAAAATCAAGAAATATTCAGTATAGCGTAAAAAACCGATGCAATATTGCTAATATGTTCAAACCGCAACGTCACTATCTATGTCACTATCCATAATCATTCTCGATGTTGAGCGATCGGGATTTAAGCTAGTAGAAAGTCCATAATCTTAAGAAAGTCTCGCGAAGGCCTTCAGAACCGGCCTTTTGTCAGGTCCCTCTTCCTCAGCTCAGATAATTGCCGAAGAAAGCCGGAGAGCAACTGATCGCGCGCGCGGTAACAGTTGCGACACGATTACGAGAATGTGCATTCGAGAGCGGCTGAAGAACGCAACAAGAGCAGAAGGTTGGTAGATGTTTTGCATCTTCACGAACATGCAGTCGTTGAAATAGCTAAAGATTTAATTAGAGTGCGCAAATAGTGCGCAAGCCTCGCAATTACATCTCAATCCTTGGCAATGAATTCCATACGACGAGCTGGATTGCTGTTTCAGCTCGTACCAAAAAAAATAGCATATCTTTCGAAGTTATCCCATAATTAAAGTAACCTCTTATTATCGACATGAGTAATTAGTTTACTCATTGTTAAGTATGTGATAAGTAATATAATAAGTATATTCTCAATTTGAAACTATAACATTTTTCTGTGGCGCAGAATACATCTTGAAATTTTTATTATATTCAAAAAATATACATTTACATATAAAATATTATATTTATTAATATTTTATTTATTCTATTGTTGAGAATCAGCGACAATCCAAATAATCTAAGATAAATAAAATTACAAGATTGTATTCTTCAGTTCAAAATCATGCATAAGTACATATTGCATTTTCTGTCGATTTTGTGCGCATATATCACACTTGACATGATTAATCCTGGAGTAATTAACCACGGCCAGGAAGTATGCGGTTTTGCGAATAATTACAGCTGTTTCGCGACGAGCTGTTCCTTTACGTCAAAAGTATCATTTTCATGATTCAATCATAATATTCATAATTCTTAAAATTTAATATTCTACAAAATTAATAATTTTTTAAATCTATAAATATTATATTTTCTTCTTTTAAGTTTTAATTTTATATTGATTAATTTATATTTTATATTGTTTAGTTCATTTATTAAAATTTACCCCCCCCCCCCTTATATGACAATTCGAAATATTTATATATTATTTAATATATAACATGTTTTAAATATAAATGTTTGAGAGAGACATTAAACTCTGTTTAGATTTCTATTTTTTCTTTTTTGATGTACCGTGTAGGCATACTCTTATTCATTGATGTTGCAGTTCATGATTGCGGATTGTACATGTAATGAATGCAAGCATGAGATTGCTGGATTATCAGAATTTCTCGAACTACGTGGTTTGAATTTTTCGATATCATTTAAAAGTTCAAACAGAGTAGAAGTCGGAATAGCAACAGCTCACGCTACGCATATTGTGCACACGTTGTAGCTACCGGAAAAATAAAAGCGGACAGTATACGCATGCCAGGAATACTCGCGATAGCCTCGTAAACCTTCTTTTTGTGTTCTCGTTAACTGATATACCATACAGTAGTGTCTTGTAAAATCTTCGAACAAAATTATTTCCCGATTAATTTTCCGTTAAAAAGTATATAATAATATATTAAATGAAAGTATAAGTAAATAATTAATTGGAAAGTAATATAAAAATAAAAAATTAATTTTCATTTATTTTACTGTACTTGCCGAGCATTATTACACATTTTCGCGCAACACGTCTTGCATATCGCAATATTAATCAATCTGAAAAAGGGAAATTTATATAGACTAAACTTCCTCGTAAAATACATGAAGAGTTATTGCAGATTATCGTAAGGTAGTAAAACGGTACATGAAGAAGGTCGGAGGAAATGCGCGCAAATGGTGAGAATAAACTTTATTCGCAGCACGGTAAAGCAGTGACACGATCGCAAACTCGCCAGACGCGGGTATTAATACATTGCACCTGGCGGTCGCATAATCGGAACGCACGCATTCGACAAAAACCGGCGGTTAGATCTCACAATGGGAGTCTGCCTTGATTTAACCTTTCTTTTCTCAAAGACAAAGAGTGTGAATATACCCATGTCTAAAGAATTGTTTCAAAAAGTTTCAATAAATGATCTGATTCTGCGTCAAAATGTAATTATTTTCCAAACAAACAAATCGGTATATGGATGTAATTAAGATTATTATTTTACAATAAACAAGGATTTATTAATGTATCTCAAGTAATTGAAGAAATATATATCTGAAAGCAGAATATATTTCTTCAATTTCCAAGATTTCTAAGGAAATTAAGAAAATTCCTAAAATGCAAATTTTAAATGAATTGCCTAAATTGTTTTACTTTCAGATTGAATCAAAAAACAAAAAATATACATAGTTTTTAAAATTTTTCATTGCGTTAAAACATCTCTCTCTCTCTCCTCCCCTCCCTCCCTCTTTCTTTCTTCTTTCTCCTCTCTCTTTCTCTACTGTTATATTTAATTTTTTGCATTTATCAAAATTATTATTTGCTACTTGTTTTATTTTTCAACAAATTAATGCACAGCCAAGATATAACATTTATTTGCACGTAAAAAAATAACTATACAATTTTAAGTTCAAATAAAGTAATTTTTTTTTTTCAAGAAGACGGAAGAAAAGATAAAGAAAGAAGGATCCTATAAATTATCGGTATAAGACGTTCGCAAGAGAATTAACAACGTTCAAGCACAGAGACAGTCGTACAAACCGGGTCACCAGACATCGAGCAAGAACCCATACCTAACCTTCACTGACACCAAGGCTCGTCGACCGTGCTGACGAGGGGGGGACGAAATGCGTTTCCACTGACTCGTAGAATTCCTTGCAATAACGCGGTCTTCGGGCCATCTTCTTCACGCGCACGTCATATCGCGATTTATTAGTCACGATGTGTTTACTTGCATTGCGTGTGTCTGAGCTTCTCTGCAATTCTGGTTTCCGGAGAGAAAACAGGTTTCTTTTACCGAAAAATTCCATTAAGTTTTACAAAGTAAACGCATAAGCTTGAAGAAAAACCTGAATCCAAATAAAGCGTAAACTTATATCTCAAAATTGTAAAAATTATAGAAAATATAATGTAGTAATCAAAATAAAATTTATCCGATCGAAAAAATTAGAATTAAGAAAATTTTTCTTTCAATTTCTTCAAGTTAAAAGAAATTGTTCTTTCAATCTATCTGGTAATTCTCTTTAAGTCACAGTTTTGTCTGTAATTTATAATATAATTTCTCAGTTAATATGACAGCGATGTTGTTTTGATTCTCACGACAGAATCTTGTATATACACATATAAACATAATAAAATTCTTTTAGTAAATTTCGACTTAACCGTAAGAAGTAAGCTCATGAGCAAGGCGGATGCAAATGCGGGGAATACATGTTATTACGACGCGGCCATAATATCGTTTATGCGGGCATTCTTCTCACCAGACAAGAATCGCAACCAGTTCTAGACAACTCTTCGGCAGTTTTGCAGGCTATTTATTACGTCCGTTTGTTGTCGTTAATGCGCTTTTCCCGACATAACATTAAGCAGAAATTGCCTGTGTCAATATAA